CTACCCTCCCACCTCCAGCTGAAGAGCATGGGCTTGGGCGACCCCCGCTCCTTCCCCTTCCTGGACCCCCCCTCATCCTCCAGCCTGGACTCAGCCCTGCGTTACCTCCGCGCTCAGGGCGCTTTGGACGACGCCGAAAATCTGACGCCCATCGGCGCGCTGCTGGCGCAGCTCCCCGTCGATGTGGTCCTGGGTGAGAAACCCCCCTCTCCATTAAAAAAACAAAACACCCCACCCTTAAAATTAACCCCTTCCCCCCTCCTCCGTTCCCACCCCGCAGGTAAGATGTTGGTGCTGGGGTCCCTTTTTGATCTGGCTGAGCCGACGCTGACGGTGGCGGCGATGCTCAGCGTCCCGTCGCCGTTCCTCCGCCTCTCGGATGCCGAACGCGCCGCGGCACGGCGGGCGCTGGAGAGCCCCCACGGGGACCCCCTGACTCTGCTCAACGCCTTCAACGAGTGGCTGAAGGTGAGGGGGGTGGTGAAACCAGGGGGAAAAGGGCGTTTTTGGGGGAGGGGGGGACAAAAAAAAAACAAAACGAAACGCTGCAACCGCGGCAGTTTGGTGGCGGAGAAATGCGCAAATGGCACCGTTTTGTGCACGCCGAAAGCGACTGCCCCAGAGGAATCCGGCCCCAAAACAACCCCAACAGAACCCACCCCAAAGGACCCCACCTCCAAAGGACCCCTCTAAAGGACCCCACCCCGATTTGGGGTCTTTAAGGCATAAAAACAGCCTAATTTTGCGTCGTGGAAACACCCAAACGTCCCCAATTTGGTGACATTGAAAGCGTCTGCCCCAAAGGAATCCAGCCCCAAAAATGGCCCCGAGAAAAGCTACCCCAAAGGACCCCACCCCCAAAAGACCCCTCTAAAGGACCCCACCCCAATTTGGGGTCTTTAAGGTATAAAAACAGCCTAATTTTGCGTCGTGGAAACACCCAAATGTCCCCAGATTCGTGTCCTTGGAAGCGTCTGCCCCAAAGGAATCCAACCCCAAAACAACCCCGACAGAACCCACCCCAAAGGGCCCCACCCCCTAAGGACCCCTCTAAAGGACCCCACCCCGATTTGGGGTCTTTAAGGCATAAAAGCACCCAAATTTTGCGTCGTGGAAACACCCGAACATCCCCAGTTTGGTGCCCCTCAAAGCATCTGCCCCAAAGGAATCCGACCCCAAAATGACTTTGATAGAAGCCACCCCAAAGGGACCCCACCCCCAAAAGACCCCTCTAAAGGACCCCACCCCAATTTGGGGTCTGTAAAGCATAAAACCACCCAAATTTTGCATCGTGGAA